TCACTCACTGTTTGGTTGATGCCGATGTGAGCTGAAGTGGCATGACTGTGGCTCTCTATGAGGGAGGTATGGCACAGAATCCAGACTGGTGTGTGTGTGTGTGTGTGTGTGTGTGTGTGTAGTTTGGCACACATCAGACGAGGGGATGTCATGGCCTTCAGACCTTCTCACACGCACACAAACATCCTTATCCAACAGCAGTGAGCATGAATGGTCATTCAGCTGCAGCCAGCAGTATGAAAACAAGTCAAAAGGAGGAAGAGGAGGAGGAAAATTGGGTGGGGGGGTTCTGAGATGGGGGGGAGAGTATGGGATCTGGAGCCAAAAGAAACATGGTGGGCTCGTCTGTCCTCCTCCATGTCCTGACGAGCACCTCAGGCAAATATTCTGTGAATGAGAACATATTTCGGGGGGCTATGCTTCCATTTCACTTCACAAAAAGGAGGAGGAGGAGGAGGAGGAGGAGGAGGAGGAGGAGGGGAGGTGAGTCATCCATGATGTCATACAAGATGAAAAAAGTTAAATGAGAATCTCAATGTGCAGAGAGAGGACTTTAATTCGGGGCTGCCCCACGTTCTGCTACTTCAATTACTTACCTCCCATTCCCTTTTAAGTGCTCACTTGTTGATTTGTATGTTCAAAGAAAAAAATCCTCCAGAAGGTTTTTAACGACGTTCAGAACAGCTAGAGTGAGTGAGAGGAGGATTGTACAAAGGGTTCCATGAAAATTAAGTATTTTCTCCATTAAAAGCAATTCAGTGTATTTAAATTCTGTAATTACCCCTCACTATAGGTTTTATTGTGAGTGTAGTTTTACCATCTCAGAGGAGGTGGAGTTGTCGTCTATTTGTTTTCACGATTATGCAACAACCATTTGCCTGATTTCCATGAAAATGTGTGGTCATATTTGGTGCAGGTCTTGGCTGAATCCAGGATTTTCTTCTTCTTTAACATTGCAAGGGTGCTTTTAGGCGTTTCTGTAGATTTACCTGAGAATAGATAGATATAGATGAAAAAATCCAGGCATGCGTGATAAATTTGGTGCAGATTCAAATAAAATCCACTTCTAGTGAATCTGAATGTGGCCTGTTGGAGAGTGTAGACTGTAGTTTTCCTTGTTAGTTCATGCACCTGATTCAAATTTCTATCTACACACAATTCATTGACATCAGCCTCACTGTTTACTTGAGGTAAATGCGTTGATTTGTGAGTTTTAAACATGATACAGCTTTTTGTATTTGGATGGAGCCAGATGGTTATGCTTAGTTAAAGCACATCACCTGCAACAGGAGTAAACAGCACGCAGTTGTGAATAATTCCATTCAAAAGCAAATGCCGAGGCGAGTTTACATTCAGTGATTTGTGAGGATTAAAAAAAAAAAATCAGGCGATGATGATCTGGTCCTTTTACTTCTTAAAAAGAAAAACAGACTAATGAGAGTTTAGAGAACATGATGAGCTGGGATATTTTCATTCATGCAAGAAGAAGAACAAAAACATTTTAATTCCACTGGTATAGAGCAATTTAAAAACTGCTTATGGAACATGAAGGCTTTAGTTTTAATTAATGTGCTTCAACATAATGATATTAATAATAATGAAGACTCTTTGGATACGTTCATTCTCTTTCTCTGCACGATGAACTTTGTTTCTGAACTACTCTGGTAACCTGATGTGAGTGGGACAACAAAAATTATTTAGTGGCTTTACAATGAATAACTGCTCATTGGATAGAACTGATTTCAATCTAACAAATAATGAGCTGTGTTCTACTGAGGCTCTGACATTTCCACATCTTCTCATATGGCAGGCAAGCTGTTAAGTGAGGTGGGGTCTTGATGATGTTTGCTGTGGGCGTGACACATACTCACTAAAGGTTTAAATTACCTTTGAAGTGGTGGTTAATCACCATGCTGAAGTGGTTTTGGCTCAGTGGCTGCAGCCGGTCACCCGGAGGAGTCACAGCTGGGGCGGTTTTTGGTGACAGATTTCCATGTGTTGAGACGTTGACGCTAAATGTTCCTCTGAGGAGACTAGCAGGGGGCTTCTCTCTCGAACCAGAACCGAGTGACAACATAAATATTTTATGCTCAGATATTTGGTGCATTGACATAAGTAAAATGAAATGAAAAACACAGTTAGTGAATAAATCATGATCTACTACATAGCATGTGACGTAAACCAAAAACTGGAGAGTCTGAAGATGGAAGCAGACAAAAATATGGATCCGTTTGAAGCAAACGAGGAGATGATCCCTCCAGGTTATGACTGAAGCTCCTGGAACTAACTGTTTACATTGATGCGATCATTTAGCATTTAGGTTTAAAACCTGTTACAAACCTACCTTGTGATAACAGGTGAGGACTGAACTTGTTTCATTAAAGCTGCTCTCAGACATGCACTGAAGTCTGGACATTTTCCAGGACTTTTCCTGCCAGCCCTCTGGTAAAATGTTCAACTGAGAGAATACAGCAGGAAAATGTCCAGAAGCAACTGAAGCAGGCGACATCATCATGCGAAAGCCATGAAACTGGAGGAATATAAATATCTCTCAGGATGAAAAAGAGGTGACATACATGTAGAGGACACAGACAAAAGCCAGGTCTTAATTCAGGGGCTGCATACTTCAGAGGACAAGGTCTAAACAGCCCACGAAGACCTTTCCTTCCTAGACTGTGAATGCCGAACCAAACTAAGGCCATCTGGTCTACAGAGGATTTCCATCATCAGCAGCTCATCCAAACCGTTATTGCTGTGACCTAGCAACAGAGCTGAAGATGGACATAACTAGAACGTTTTAATGCCGCTCTGTTTTTAAACTTGTGTACCACTAGCTGTTCGGTTGAGATGAAGCCTGATACTCAAGCAATGTGTCGTCGCTTGCCGGCACCATTACCTCTTGGAAAAAGGGTTTGGCAATGAAGCTCAATGAATCCTGGAATGGGTTGTGCTGGGAAGGATCCACCCATTGGAGCCTTTTTTCTTTGTTATAGAAGGACGCGTTTGTCTGTCAAATTTGAAAGCGCCTTAAAAATGGAACCTAGTCGCACTGCTGTGACTCAATCGAGGGGCTGAGTAATGTTCAGCCTCCTGCATGCTCTTCAGGCATCACAGCCTCCATGAATGTTCCAAACAGGTTCCTGTTGCCTTCTGATATATGAGAGGCAATCTCTGGAAACTCTGCAAAAACAGTTTTCAGAATATATTCCTGAGTTTGTCTGAACAGCTCAGGATGCTTTTACGTAGCTGAAACTTGAGGCTCAGATCATCAGTGTGGTCATAGTTAAAATATATTGACCGATATCAAAGTAATGCCCTTTGCACACATAAACCCTCTTCCCTTCTGAAAGAGAAGAGTCATTATTCGCATGACAACAAGAAACGTGGGCTAAAAACACAGAACAGCATCAAAGGAAAGTGCACCGGAGCCGCATTCGTTTTTCTAACTCCATGAAAACCAAACAGACAGCCTCATAATGACTGATAGCAGCGTTTGATTGCTCCCCGCGAAGAGACAGATCCTATCTGCCTCTTTTCGTTAAAGCAGCATGACCGAAAAACACACCATCGTTTCATGATGGGGATCCCTGGTGTAGGACATGGCGGTGTCAAAGAGCCCCTTGTGATCACCCTGAGGACCAGTAGGAGATATTTTAATTGCTGTCTGACCCAGGATGGCTTTAGTCTGCTGCCATCACACAGAGACACTATTATGCTGCATCAGAAACTCAGAGAGCAGAGGAGCCCTTAAAAAGAGGTAGGGCGTTTCTTTTTCTGCAGTTGGTTGTTTACTTCTCTAAATGACACGATAATGACACAATTTCACCTAGAGACATGACTCCCTGACGACCCCCTGACCGCATCAGTTGGGAGATACACGTGTCTTAAAGAAATACAGATGGCATTGTTATTATGTTGTGGGCTTTGTGCAGGCACCTTTCCCTCAGAGCAAAAACATTTTCTGGCCCAGATTTGACCATATCCCACATCCTGCCCACATACCTCATGGAATGATGTGCGGTGTGTTGCTGTTCCTGTCAACCAAAGGTGGCCCGAATGTTTTTGTGCTACTTGGGCAAATATTCACAATTTACCACATGGGCCACTTTAGGTTCACATGCAGATTACATGTTGCCTAGAGAGCCGTGCATTTGCCAAATTTGTTTGGGGATATTTGGGGCATATTTGCTTTGTACAAGTGGACAACTTTAGGCTCACATTCATTTTGTTCGGGCCAATGGAAAATCAGAAGATTTGCATCATTGCCAAAGTGGCCCACATCCGTCTGCTATCTGGGTTTGAGCTATCTTGTTGATTCAGAAAAACAGAGCACGATTTTTGTTTTATTCAAACTCTGTCTTAATTCTAAAATAATGATCTGGTAGAAAAGTAGGAGGGTTTTTTTTTCTTTAGACAACTGATCGAGTGCCATTTTAGTTTTACTTGTAAATATTTTGTAATCTGGATGGAATAGCATCATAGAAATGTTTCTGTTAAGTATAAATGATCCTTTATACATTATTTCTCTACATCCGCACATTGACTTGAATTATCCCCAACAACAGTTGATCTTTTTCTAATTCTTTGTGATTGAGGGGACAGTTTCCCGGATGATTAATGTATAAACACAACATGTCACAGAGGGATATCCATAATAATGATAATATCCCGTGTTTACTGTGTTTTTTTCAGGCATTTGCTGTTTTCCAGCTGTAGAAGTGGAAGTTCTCCGCACCCTGAACCCCCTCACATCTCTCCCTCTCAATGATGCAGTTGATTGATGTCGCACAGGCCTGTATAACTTTTACTGCAAATATATTCACAGTGCACATTATCAGTCTCGTGGGAAGATAATCTGTTTCCAAATCTCGCGTTTAATCAATGAAACAGTTGACCTGAGAAGCTGCGTGGCTCTCGTTGGCTGCGAGCTCCGAGGCGTCATCCAGCAGCAGCGCTTGATGCGTCCGTCCCTCCACCATCTCCTCCCACTGTGGGAACAGCTGTTGACCGTGAACCGTGGAGTGCAGCTCTGACACGAATTACCTGGACACACGCTGGTGAGTCTGGGTGGGCATCAACCCACGAGAAATAGAAAGGGAGCGCTTTTTTAATTCTTACTGTCTAACCTTTTTTTCAAACAAAACGTACATTAAAGTTTCACAACGTTTCTTTTGAATGGGACAGTTTCCTTGAACATCAGCCATGGCGAGCCTACTTTTCCACTTGCTGCATTTGTTCCTGGTGCTGGAGTCCAGCTGGGGGAAACTCGTGTCCGAGGATCTTGGAGTAGCCGCGCGTCAAGGTGCCGTCGTGGATGCACCGGCTGCGGATCGGCGCGTCTTTGCGCACGAGAGCGCGAACCGGGACATGGTCTCCATCAACATGTTCAAAGTGTACGAGAGGTACAGTGAAGAGCCGCAGAGCCAGAGGGACGGAAACACCGTGAGAAGTTTGAAAGCTGTCCCGAGTGAGTGACCCGCACCACGTGTTATCACACTGAGCAAATGATATGGGATGCATGGTTGCATGAACAAAGTAATGATGAACAATACATTCGTACTATTTTAAAAATCCTCGAGACCAACTTTATTTTGTATTAACTAACGGAAAGTGGTATTTTGTAAAAAGACTAAATACGTTTAAAAGATCATCATTTTCTTTTTCAAACAAATTTGTTATTTAAGCAAAAAGATTTTTTTCCCCAAAAAGAATACAAAACGAATCTGCTTAATACACTTC